CTCACACCTTCAGTTCGTTCGAGTTTCCGACGCACGCTCAGCCGGTGATGTCCTTCGTGACATGGACAAGCGATCACTCGTCAACGGCGACTTCATCCTTGTAAACGGCGATTTGGTATCCAACATTATGCTCGACAATGCCCTGGCGGCGCATCGAAAGCGCAGGGAAGACAGTGCAGCCAACATTATGACAATGGTGTTGCGTAGTGGTGGAGAGGGCGACCACCGAACAAAGACGAACGGAATTACCCCCATCTTCGTTGTCGACACCAAGACTCAGAGATGTCTTCACTATGACGAGATGGACCCCCTGGCAAGCGACCGATACATGTCATTGGACCCGGCTGTTGTGGACGAACTATCAACCGATTTCGAAATTCGATCCGACCTCATCGACGCCGAGATCGACATCTGTACACCCGAGGTCCTTGCACTTTGGTCAGAGAGCTTCGACTACGAACTTCCCCGAAAGAACTTCCTACACGGTGTACTCAAGGATTGGGAGCTGAACGGCAAGATGATTTACACCGAGATTTGCGAGGAGGGCTACGCGGCACGAGCAAGCAACCTACAGCAGTACGATGCTGTCAGCCGTGATGTTCTCGACAGATGGACATACCCCTTCATTCCAGAGTGTAATATCGTACCCAAGCAATCGTACCAACGACATATACATGGCGTCGTGGCCGAGCAGGGTGCATTCTATGCAAACGATGCCAAACTTTCGAATTCCATTATTGGGCGCGATAGCAACATTGGTTCAGGAAGTACCATCTCTAACAGTATTATTGGTAGAGACTGCAAGATTGGTGCCAATGTGGTTTTGGTGAACTCTTATGTCTGGGATGATACCACAATTGAGGATGGAGCAAAGATATACCAGTCCATAGTTGCAGACTCAGCCGTCATTGGCAAGAATGCATCCATACCCGAGGGCAGTCTGATTTCCTTTGGTGTAAACGTTAGCGAGGGCGCTACACTACCCAAGGAAACTGCAGTCTCTTGTGTGGACGTTGAGGGCAACCCAGTGACGCCAGACACCAAGCTGCTTGGAGCCAGCACCAACGCCACCAAGTTCACAGACCCTGAGGATGAGGATCTTGACGAGAGAGATCCATCCCAGCTGCAGAAGAGCCTGATCTACAACTTGGCTCAGTTCAACATCTCCACTTCGTCTGTGTCGACGTTATCTTCCGAGATATCGGAAGATGAGATGGATGAGAACTCGCTAAACATTAACGCCAGCGACCCCTCCCGCCGTACCTCATTCGCCTCTGATGACGCTGGCGACAAACTTTCCTTTCACAACGAGGCTGTTCACGGTCTTGTCGACGCACTGCGCGCCCAGTCCGGCGATTTCGACTCGGCCAAGCTCGAGTTCATGGGTCTGCGTCTTTCTAACGACGCTTCTGATGCCATGATGCGCCGCGCCGTGGCCAGTGCCTTCGCTCATCGCGCAGTAGAGCTCATGACCCCTGAGTATGGCAGTCTCGAACCCAGTAAGGCCGCGGATCGTGCCCTCAACTCTCGTCCAGGCGCAACAAAGTTCATCAACGAAGTAGGCATCGGCCTTGAAGACGATAACGAAGCTGCGCAGGTCGAATTCATCATCGCTCTTCAAAAAGCCCTCACACGTTCTCCAGGGCCAGAACAATCTCGCGTGGGCATTCTTCTCGCAGCAATGCTGCAGCAACTCTACTCACAGGATATCCTTGAGGAGGAAGGTATCTTAGGTTGGTGGGAGAACGACCGAGCTGTTGAGGGAGAGAGCATGACATTGCTGAAGGAGAAGTGTAGAATGTTGGTTGACTGGTTGGAGAATGCCGAGGAGGAAGACGACAGTGATGATGAATAGACAGACGATTTTTATTTTCTATCTCTAAAGATAATGGAGTTCAAAAGAAACAGAGTTACATGATTCACATCGATAGGGCGTAATTCGAGACTCGGCCCGCCCCGTCTTGCATGCCTTGACATGATATGAGCGAGGCACTTAAGCATTTGTTTTTATAGTCATCCATATGTATGATGATATAAGCCTTTATTGGCACTCGAACCCCAGTACGGTCTCCTCAGCCGTAGTGCATATAAGGGGCTGTCAAGACGAATTTGCCTCTTTCTTTTACCCTTAGGCCGATAGCATTCTTGGGTTCTCTAGCCTGTCTGTGGCTAGCTTGTGCTTACGTTCGTGGTAACTTTTGCATCAAGAATTTTAGCGATTCGAACCACCCAGCCAGTATTTCCAAAGATATATCCGACGAAGTCTCGTATGGTTGTAATGGGCCGAGTTTGCTAACTAACCGTCGCACAATGCGTATAGAAATCAGATCGCCATGAACAAGTAGTGATATTATCGCCCGACCGTGTGTCCAGGATTGTGATCAAGTTCCCCGATTCCACGAAAGCTGTCAAGACAGGGGTTGGCTTTTCAACTCAGTTCACTTATTAACACCCAGGCCACGGAGTTAATACCACAACTGGTTTAATTTAAAAAGAATAGAAATGATTGTAATAACATCATGATGTTAGTTGCCATTGGACTATCCTGACATAACCTTACCTTGGACTTAGTGATTCTCATATGGATAGCCAGTCTAGGATTCCTCTTACCGCATGCCAAGTCTGATAAGTACTTGTATGGTCATTGCACCTAAGGAGTCCTTATCAATGTTACTCTACAGTCCGCGATATTTTTGGAAGCTCAGGGGAGTGCAGACATGGTGCATGTATGGGTTCGATATTACAATAGCCTTGTTTCATTAACTACCCTACACTGAAGTGCCTTGAACTGGGAATTGACTTTAATGGATGTTGAGTGAAGTCTTTTGGCTTGTAGTGATTTATAAGCACAGGGGCGAACATTGTGTTTCGCTGGTTTGTTCAAGGAAGACTTAGATAACTCGGTTCCCGAAACGAGTGACTGAACGGTAGAGTACTCTAGGAACCACCGACATAAGCCTCACTTCTATGTTTACTAAATGTCCACTATTGCATTGCGATACTAGGTAATAGCCCATACATACTTAAGAAATCTTACATGTTTTATTTCTGCCAAGAAGCCAAGTATACACCACAAGGGCTGTTCGTCATCTTGGAGTCTGGTTGCAGTAGATTCTCTGTATTGCCAATGATAAGTAGGCACTTTTGCCATCTAGGGTTAAGGCTTTGAGATATCTATTAGATAACATTGCAATTGGAGCGAGATGTTGTCCACGCGTTCACTGTGATGTGTTGTGATTATTCAAACCAATGGATTCACTAGAGTCGTGATATTCGCGGTTACCAGAATTCGTCACTCGCGCCACTCATCATCGCAGTTGACATGGATGAACGAGTTAGCTTCTGTGCATATGAGAATCATTTCCAACTGAAGGAATTCAATGGAGATCATCGTATGATGGAGATAAACTGGCACTGGTGTCGACGTCGTCTGCGTTGCTGCTACCATCACCGCTTAATATTAGTCGCGACCCTGAAAATTCATTTCCATGTGTACATCCACCGATATCGTCGCTGTATGTAGACATGAAAATAGCATATCCAAAAATAGTAATCCAAATCTGGGACATGTACTTTGTTCTTTGCCATCTTCGCCTATCACCACCACTAACGTGCCATCAGCCCGTCGGTGCTGAGACGGTATAAGCAATGATCATCCCGCTTCACCACCCGACTTACACTGTCGCGAGGGGGAGACCAATCCAGGTACAGAAACGGTAGAGAGGGGCAGACCTCCCCAAAAGCTTTTTTGGATGACAGATGCACATGGGTGGACGTGCGATGATGTAGTGATCAACCTTATTGTATCCGCCTTTGGTTTGGCAGCTCCCAACCAAACTTCAAGCCCTGCAGCACCGAATGCTTCTAGAAGGGGACACTGATTCATGATACTGGGACAAACTCGAGCCTTTTCCCTTTTGATATGAATTTGGGATCCATCAACATACCGCTCCTTTGTAACGTATGCTGGCAGAAGTAGATCGAAGGACGATGATCCGAAAAAAATGAAATCGAACTGCCGATTATAAGACTATCATTGACTCATCTGTCTAAAAATGGTTAGCAGAGAAGGGATATCAGCCTGTCTTGCCTGTTGCAAACGACCACTGATTACTCACTCAGTACTCTCGAATGTGACAGAGTCGTTGGAACGACTGCTATGGAACCTGTAACTCGGAAAGGTTATTTTGAACAGGAGTTAAACAACAAATTAACAGGGCCCCGCTCTGGGTTAACAATCCTTCCAAGGCAGCAGACATCTGCTCTTTAAGATACTTAGTAGGCATCTCCTCGCCTTTTTGCGACAAGATCCGCGACAGAATGCATCTATATATATGAGAGACGGAGTATGACCTCCTGAAATGCAGTTGCCGCTACAACATCTTGAACTCAAAACGCCCCTGGCTGATCAGATGCTGTTCCCAATCACATCAATCAATTCAAATATAAGGTTCGACTATCCTGAGTAATGGCTCGCTGATGGTGGAGAGATACCACAAGGTTGCATGCACAAACCCCGGTATGCGTAGTACAGAATTGCTCAAGGTAGGGCTCGTTCCCAGATTGGGTATTACCGGAGAGCACAGTAAAGACTGGTCAATGTTTGTGCGACAAGGCCCAAAATAACTACGCCGCGGGTATGGGCCGAGTAATCGCGGTCAAAGTGGTGATAATCCAGACCCTTGGCCATAACATAGAGCAATCATCTCTTAATATCTGCAGGGCGCAGGGAAAGTTCCACCAATTGGACAGGGGATGTGAAGACAACTGTCAGGCAGGATAACCAGTGTCCTCCACGCGTTGTAGGCAAGTTGTGTAAAAATGTAATTCAACAGAATGAATGCAACAATACCAGAATGACGTCAACGCCTCCAAAGCTCTGTTCGCGATATCCTTCATGGGGGGGCATTAATACCCAGATTCGGTCAAGGTACATCTCTAACGAACGTGTGACTGAATCAAGGGGGTGCCACGTTGACAGCACTAACCCGATTGATTTTTCAATGACCCCATGCTTGCGATATTCTCGGTTCTTCTTTCGAGGTGGCCTGCGCAATCTCTGCCATTAACATACTCCATAAATTGTTCCCAGACTCTGATGGATACTGGAGCTCCCCGAAAGGTTTCAGCCTCGTGGGTATACTGACGTGGAAATATTTGAAAAGTAGAAATGACATCATGAGCCTGACTGTTGGCGATGTGGCTGGTCCCAATTCTTGTGACGGGGGACCCTGGTCCATGTAGAGCATGAAGCGACTGATTTGGAGTCTTCTCCGTCCGACATAACAATGTTTCGATGAACGCTAATGTTCCGGAAGTCTATCGCACGTCTCACTGCGAGATGCTGCCCTTGTACGGACACCAGGCTCCAGCTTTCACAAATCAATGAATAGCGTCGGCATTATCCGCACGGCACTTCCAGAGGCGTACTGTACGCAATGGCATCCATTGAATCAAATGCAGCTGTCGCACGCCGCCCACCTTGACTGTCTGCAGGTCATCACTAGCCAGCTGTCATTTGTGGGGTAGGGTTTTGAGCAACGGCACTTGATGCTATCGGTGCCCTTGTACGAACTAGAGACCGAGATCGAGGCTCTTAACCAACAAAGTATATCTCGATTAAGGTATAGCCGACTTCGGATAAGGTGATGTCAGCCATGACAAAGGTTGAGAACCCTTCAAAGGTTACTACACCTCCAATCTCACAAAAGTTGTTCGACGACAACCCCTGGATGAAGTCACCCTGCCCTGTAAGAAAGGGTGTGAGGGGAGAGCGTTACATGGTGCGCGCAACTCACCCGGAATTTGCATGGAGTTCACACCATGATACCCGCATGGTAGATAACCGTCGTGAATCACCACCAGCCACACATCGCGATTCGTTACCATACGACAGGGCAGTGATGGCTGACTTGCCGGACGATTGTATGGATACCAAACACAGATTTCCAGGTACAAAGAAAAATATAGAAAGCTGAGAAATGGGTGGAGGCTGCATAAAGGGTTCCGAGCCATGATATTTCGCTCAAACCCAACTGCCGAGCGATCGTAAAGTGAATAAGAGAAGACGCTTCAGGAACTGCAACACCGACGTAATGGTTGGACGGCAACTTGTTGAACATTGCAATTCGGAGAACAGCTTGTCCTTCAAAACTGAGAAGGCAATCGATTTGCCAAACTTGTGCCAAAACAGCTGTCAAGGCACAGGCACTGATGAGTGTAAATAACAACCAACAGAGTACGGGTACAGTGTTGGCTCAATACCCATTTCAACCCACAAGCTTCGCAGCGGCACGGTCCTGCATCTGCTGGTGGCACACCCGTGACGGAACATGCAATTGTCGGAGCCATGCCGTGGTACTTGGCTGGGGTCAGGATGCTCTCCGAGATGGCTCCAGATGGGACCTGGCAGGGTAGCCCTGGCGAAGGAAGAGCACCGTGGCTGCTTCTGGCGGAAGCTCTGTAGGAGCTACTCAATCGAGACACCTTTTCACTTCAGCCAAAAAAGCTTCAATCTCACGACGCCAATCAATTGGAAGACACAGAATCCGGTTATTGTATACTGTTGGCGCATCGACGTTGGGGATTTGCAATTGAAGTAATGGGGAAACTGTTTCGAACCGTTAGACGCATGAATTTATGATTGCTGGAAATATACCGTTTGAGCTGGCGGCTATACGGATATGGCCCGTCACATTGCAGATTCCTTTTCCATATTATAGAACCAACGCATATGAACTTCATCTCGGGGCCTAGCGAAGAAGGAAATCAGTGCGAAAATACCAGTTTTAACACCTTAAATTTCTGTCGGTCGATTCGAAATTGTTTGTCCATGTTTGCCAAGGGCCACTTGATCATCTTGGTGTTTTGTGCGTGTAAGCCATCGTTGCTAGCCACTTATACTGCTTGTTATATAGTGTCCCGATTTTCCGTACCAAGGAAACGTAGGTAGAATGTGACAATAACAAAATTCCCACATAGGGAAGAGAAGCAGTTGTTGGAAGTAAGCATATACATTGTGATAAAGGATCAGTAATTCTAGAGAAGATGATTCTCGGTAGGAGGTTTCGAAAAACGCTCCAATGATTTTTTTTAGCACTACCTAAGGTGCCCTTACATGAAGGGGCGATAGCCACGCGTCAAGCCACATAGAAGACGCCACAATTACGACTAAGCGTCGCATATCGCACTACCTATGCCGCGGCAGATACTGACGGGCCAGGCAATGATCAACAACATAAGAGTACAACACCATTGCTCAGTACATAATTGGAGGAGACATTCTTGATAGAATCGATCTAGGCTGTGGCGCGCTGTGAAAAATCGCCTCTCATTGTGGCTGTGAAGCTGTAGCCGAACCCAGAATATTGGATTGTTTGTTTGCTTGTAGAGGATGCGCGGGGGGGGGGAACAACATCTAGAATCCTCACATGTAAAAGTACCCACGTGTCGGCGCTCAATCTGGAGCGTAAAATGAAGATCGTTTGATTGAAATAGCGGCAAACGGCTGCAGTACCAAGACCTGGGCTAGGCTAGGGGAGGGGACGGCTTCGGAAACCGCTACAAACGCAGCATGGCTTTTGCAATTGGCATTCGCAACGTCCGGGCCAGGCTGAATCAGGACAAGCTGGTCTAGTGAAATGGTTCGATTGTGAGGTCTAGGTAGTTAACTTGTTCCATCCAAGCCAGAGGACAATAAACTGGAAGAACCCCTTGGCGCCGTGAACCTCTCCGTAAGTATGTACTGGTACACTTTTATGTAACAACCTAAGAAGGCAAGTCAGCTAGTATGTAAGAAGGGTAGCACCAAGGATATCGACAATCTGGAAGGGTTCAACACAGCCACACGGGAAGAAGAGCAGGTTGCTTCCAGCCTCAGAGTTATCATTGATAGATGACTGTACCTAGTACTGCAAATAGGTAAGTAGGTATGTAGGCCGTCGCAGTCTAACCCAACGACATATCACGACACTGTACTGTAGAACACAACACAATAGTACAAGAGACTGCACGTTGACTCCAAGAAGGTAATCTCGCCATACATAGTAGGCCATGGGATGCCCTGGTCAGGTGGCTGACCTCAAAAGGGAAGGCTCTATAAGCAGAGGTCAATGTCGGGCCGTGGATGTGATGCAGATGAAAGGAACGGATAGGAACCCATCCGTCATGCCGCCAGACCAGGTAGACCTCCCCATGCCCTGTCCAGAATCCTACCATGGTCAAGTAGGGCTTTTCACACACATCCATACGTACGGATTCAGTTGCAGCGCTTTCCTAAAGAAACAGTCTTCAACCAATAAAGGACTGAAAATATATAGGTAGCAGGGGTTACAAGGGAGCACAGCACAACGCCATGCATATTACGGCGGGAAACGGGAGATGAGGTATGGATGGCATAGCATAACTCAATAATGGATCGCATCAGTCGCGCGCCGTGTTTAGATTTTCGCCCATCCCAAGTACAGTATGCGGATCATTAGCGGCAGCTATACATGGAGTACCATCTAGAGCAAAAGATAGAGATTTCATTTTGACATCGGTAATTGGATACATGACTCTGTTTGCCGGTCGAAATTGCCATGAGCGCAAGTACCAGTGTTGCGCGGCGTTTAGATAGAAAAGAAGAGGAATAGCGAGAAGAGAAAAAAAAAAATCTCAAACAATGGCTCATCTTCCATGCCCCAGACATCTGGCGATTCAACTGTCGATGAGGGGTGATTTTGGTGTGAGCAGCCGATGGTCAACAATGTCTCAATGGGATAGGACCCGATGACAGAGGAAAGTTCCGATCCAGCTAGCGTTCGACTGTGGGCTTGGGACCTCCACATCCCACGACTCTGGCGTTCCTGCGTAAGGGTTACCGCTGTTGTATCCGAAGCGCTAGGACCACTGCCTTTTATTTTGGTAGATAGCGCCTGGTCTGTTCTGTGAGCTCTGTAATGCCCGGGCGGCCCCCCCGCCTGGATGGGGTTTTGGGTGCTGTCGGGCCTCTACACAGAAATTCTGGCACCCCGGGAATGGAAAGTAGGTAGGTAACCTACGGGATGGAAATGAGATAACCTATGCTGGGGGACCACCATTTTTTCTTCTTTCTTTCTTTACTGACTGCAGGCAGTCAAGCCTATGGAGGCTACCCCTCACTTACTTTCCCTCTGTTAAAGTCACTCTCAAACATTCGTTCTAATGCACTTCTATGGACTCTCAAAGGCCTAAAGGAACTAACACGACTTTCAAAAGGTCTACAACGGCCAGTCAGAGTTGCGAAATCTCAAAGCTGCCATGGCGTCACTGCTTGTGGTATCTCCCTTGCTCGCTTGCTCAAATTTTTAATGTAACTGTCCTGTCACAAGCCTCACAAGCCACATGCCTCTCTTTGATTCCACAAAGGAAGACCATCTATAGGTCCATCCATATGGGGGCGTCGCCATGACTGTCTGAGACGAATGAATGGCTCTATTTCCTTCCCGTTCCGCTCATCGGCGGTTGTCTCCCACTAATATTTTTCTCTTTCTAATAACGACCAAGCCACTTCTTCTTCATTCTGTCCTCCTCTGCTCTCCCCCCACCTGACTGACTGTCCTGCACATACATGTACGTACAGAGTACAGTGCAGTATGTAGCAGAATACAAGGGTTTTGGTTGCCTGCCGACCCTTGTCTGATCCTAGCGGATGAGAAGACTTCTGGGATCAGGGCCCCCTTGCTCGGTTGGTCCATCGCTTTGACCCCACAGGCTCCTGAGAATCGACGGACATGCTGGTATGAATGAATGTCCTTCTGACTCTACCTGCAGTACCCAGGTGCATAGATGAGCAGCAACACAACAATCGTTGAGCACGATGATCGAGTCTCTTTAGCATTAGGAGTGGCAGACATAGTCTGATTGAGCCACTACGTCAAAGGCACGTATGCCTCAGCAGTTCAGCTCAGTTCAGGCCACCTGGAGGTTCGATTAATATGATTACGACCAAACACAAGTATATTCATAGTACAGTATGTATTACTGCAAACAGCCACAAACGCAACGGGAACAACAACGATATTTCCCACAGTACAATATCCGTATTCACCTTGCCCATCTCTTTTTTCTTTTACTTTAGGCGGCATCCCGGCACTACGGACAAGCCATCTTCGGTCGCCCCCAAAATTCTCATCCACTCTCCTCATAAGATTGGAACTGTTTGGTTCAACGTTATTTCAGCAGCTGCGAAACACACAACAATAACCGTCCGCTAAGACGACTGCGTTAAAGTCCTCATCGCTAAACGTCTTTCTTTCTAAAGCCGTGCTATAGTTTAGCTTGCACGTCTCGCACATTCAGGGAACGACAATTTGATCGCAATAACGCAGTGCATACGGTATCTACACGTAGAAAGGACGTCTAGGATGGCCTTTGTTATTCAGCTTACCTAGTTAAAACAGATATCGCAGCATCACTCCAGATCACGGCGTTACGTCGCATCTCGACATCCATACATTGCACCACTCAGTCACCCTAGCGTTTGACACAGCACAGGCACAAAACCGTGCGACACAAGTACACAAGGTACACTTTTCGCTGCTTACTGCGTACACCCCTCCTCCGATTTCCGTCCAACTCATCCACTCGATCCACGACACCGCCTCGGCGCCCCAGCCCAGAGCTTGGGACGTGGGTACGAGGTACTTGGGGACTTCAAAGTCAGATCCTCCTTCTCCGTCGAGTCTCTTCACCCTCCTCCTCCTCCGACGGGACTGACGACAGGTCCCCACCTCCTCCAATATACCCTTACCTTCTCTAGCTTACCCTTCCTGACCCTTCCTAATTACTACCTACACCACCCACTACAATATCCCACGACTTGACGCACCTTTACTTCTACCTTTCCTCTGTTCTACTTTATCATCTACCTATACCCTTCGCGATAACCTGTCGCTCTCTGTCAACACTCACTCACAACAGCTGGCTTGTCTCTTCCCTCTATATTACCGTTATAACGCGCCTAACGGTTACCGCGATTAACGCTCTTCGCTCCCACCAGCGACACCAGCCGTAGCCCACAAACCCACTCTTACAAACACCCTCGACGTCTCGTCTCTGAAATCAATAAACAATATCAGCAACTGATTCGCATAACCACTTCCGAACTTTGCGCACACGAACTTTGACAGCAGGCCTGCAATATTGCGGACCCTTGATATCGGGAGATATTGTTCTTTAAACTGCGCTGCGCCAACGACTGTTTGACATCTTTGCTGTCTCGAGACGGCCTAAACCGCTCGTCTCGATATGTTTCGACAAAGGTATGATATTTGTGATCCTTCTAGCCTTGCGCGCTTGGAGCGTAGCCAGGGAAATCGAGGAAAGACATGTTACTCTTCGGCATGCTAATGATCTTCCTAGGACGAGCTCTCAAAAGCCGGGGGATGAGCTACTAGCAAACTTCCGACAGCAGTTCCCCGACCTTGCTGCAGTTAGCACCTCGTCTACAGCGCCAGGGATCTCGCAAACTACCGGTGCAGAAAACGCTCCCGGCCTACCTCTGCCTGAGCGGTAAGTTTCACTGCAACTATGTAGCAGGGCGCTTTGAGCGCGCGGCTCGGCCTTTCACTCCAAACGCAGATGAATGTAGTCTTACTAACTTGATCTTGTAGACATAATCTTAGTCAGGATGCATTCCGCGACCAAGATCCAACTCCAAGGGCCACCAACGATCCTTGGAGGTTTACTCCTTCTCTTTTAGACCCCAACTCTATGTCTTTCGCCAGCTTTGCCAACGCACCTCCTGGGTATTACACCCCCACCCCTGGAGGCAACAATACTTTGTTCCATCCTCAGGCTGGTGACTTACACACGCCGACGATGGGTCTGGGTATGGGCTTGAACACGCCTCTGTCTATGCCTACGTCAGGCGACTCTATGCACCCAGGCGCAGCTCAACCAGTTATGGATATGTCTGGCTTCCAGGCATTGCAACCGCATCAATTCCACCACTTTAATCCCTTCATTCAAGCACCTCCGCCTCAACCAACATTTGCGCCATCGAGCTTTGTGCATCAAGATACAGGTTACGAGACCATGGATCAAGATGGGTCGCCGATGGACTCTGATCCTTCAGAAGAGCGCATGTCTTCTATCGGCGCCACCCTTCACAAAAACACTCCCATGATGAGTCTGCAATCACGGCAATTCTCAAGTGGCCATATGTCTCATCCTCTCCCTGCGTCAGCTGAGAAGTTTCGATTCCATTCGACTCTGAATGCCCCTACAGCTATGATCAAACATGCTGATGAAATTCCTGTTACATATCTCAACAAGGGGCAGGCTTACTCGCTTTCTGTTGCCGATACCAATGCCACTATGCCTGTTGCGTCTGGTACCAAATATCGTACTTTTGTGCGTGTTTCTTTTGAAGACGAGCAACAACGACAACGGCCGGGTGTCTGCTGGGGTCTTTGGAAGGAAGGCAGAGGCACCAATGAGGCCCATCAAAGAGGTGGAAAGCTCCAAGCAGTTGAATATGTGGAGGCAGGTCAGCCAGCTGAAGGTGACGACAAGAGAACTCGTGTGGAGCTAGAGTCCTCTTCCTTCGACGGCTTCTGCGTTACATGGACGCCTGGTATTAACGGTCCTCCCGAGGTCAACATCGCTGTCCGCTTCAACTTTCTCTCCACCGATTTCAGTCACTCAAAAGGTGTCAAGGGTATTCCCGTAAGGCTCTGCGCAAAGACTCACCCTATCCCTTGCGATCCCTCACAGCCAGCCGCCGATGCCAATCCCGAAATCTGCTACTGCAAGGTCAAGCTTTTCCGCGATCACGGTGCTGAGAGGAAGCTTTCGAATGATGTAGCACATGTCAAAAAGTCCATCGATAAGCTCAAGCAGCAAATCGCTCAGGCTGAAAGTGGTTTAAAAGACTTTGGCAAGCGAAAACGGTCCAGCGGTGCAGCAAAGATTGGAGAGCCGCAACGACCCGGCAAAGTACAAAAGCATAAGCGAACATGGTCCATGTCTTCAGCAAGTTCTGCTGGGGGCGGTGCGAGAGTGACTATGGAGGAAGACTTACACTTCAAGCTTCAAACTCTGCAGGACATGTTCACCAGTACACGCCCTGTCAGTGTATTATTTCTCAGGGGTGACGAACCCGACGACCCCGATCTACACCCAGTATCTCTTCCTGGAGATATTTCACCCCTAACCAAGCCAGGCGAAGGTCCCAACTGGCAGGCCAGAAGTGGACGAAGCTCCGCCGCAGGTTCTATGATATCGCCTTCGCCTAGCTCTTTGTCCCTAGTATCACAGGCGTCCGGAATTGGCGCAGGCAATCAATGGAAGAATTTTGA